TTCGCACACAAGTGTGCTACACTTAAGTGATATTGGAGTCTCTGGGTACAATCCAAACGTAGGATTCGGGTTTCCACCTTGGCATGTACCCAAAACCCAAGCCGCCATAACTTACCCACAAACCCTAAACCCCTAAACCCTGCACCCTAAACTTAAAGCGATGCAGCTGATAGGCACAGAACAAACTTCAGACTGAAACCAAGAGGCTTTCCCAGCAGGTGCCACAACTTCTATCCAGGCGCATCCAGGGTGCACCTAGCGGCTGAGAAGGGTTCGGCTAAACGCTGAAAACCTAAACTCCCTGAACCTCCAAACCCCTAACCACAAGGGTCCAAAGGACCCAGTAATCAGGTACTTAGGTTTCGGATAGTAGTTTTGTAGGTTACTATTTGGGAGAATATATGATTATTAGACACTTGGACCCTTAGGGTAAAAGGGGTGCAGGATGGTAGGCTTTCACGGTTTAGGGTTTAGGGTCTAGGGTCTACCTTCCTACATGGGCTCTTGGACAAGCATTAGGGCTTGGAGTGTACAGACAGTTTGGGTTGTGTGTCTAGGCTTCGGGGATGCCCCATATCCTCTCGAAGCTGCTTAGGGTGCCTTAGGGCAGGGGGTTTTGGGTTTAGGGAAGCAGCTAAACCTACCCAGAGAATCCAATATCCCTTAATTAAGGAATATACCTTGAATCATAGTACGGATCCTACTATAATTTAAGGAATAATCCTTAATCAAGGACTATTGGAGGCTCGGGGAAGTCGTCTGCCTGCACCGTTGCCATAACTTCACCCTAAACCCTAAACCCTAAACCCTAAACCCTAAACTCTAAACCCTAAACCCTAAACCCTAAACCCTAAACCCTAAACCATCGTTTCCACTGCGTCGGCTTTAAACATCGGGCTCGGGGCTCCCTAAACCCTAAACTTTAAAACCCTAAACCCTAAAACCCTAAACTCTAAAACCCTAAACTTTAAAACCCAAAACCCCAAAACCCTAAAAACCTCAACTCTAAGCCCCTAAACCCTACAACCTAAACCCCTGAACCAATCTTCAGGGTTTAGTGTCTCGGACTTGGGGTTTAGGGGATAAGGCTCGGAGCTTTCGAGGTGTGCCGCTCTGCATTGCAGTTGGAGGGCCGAAGAAGCTGCACACCCCAAAGCCAGACCGGTTTAGGGTTTAGGGGTTTCGGGTTTAGGGGTTTAGGGGTTTAGGGGTTTAGGGGCCAGACCGCCAACCCCCGAACCATAAGCCCTAAACTCCATAAGCCGTAGACTGCACCCTGAACCACAAGTCCTCCTCTACAATGCTAACCTCTCAAACCCCAAACCCGTCCTCGGCCTGAATTTCAGTTTACCCATAGGCCACATATAGTAGTTCCTTTTTGGGATTACCTAATAGGCTCCTAACTGCAAGCCACAAAAAAGGAACTCCTATGGGGCCTATGGGTAGGGTGTAGGGTTTAGGGTTTAGGGTTTAGGGTTTAGGGTTTAGGGTTTAGGGTGTAGGGTTTAGGTAATCCGATACCATACCGCAGGAGGCGACTCTTGAAGTGCTCTTTTCTAGTGCCCGAGCTTGCCATTCCCGGTTTCAAGGGCTTTAGGGAGCCATGTGCTTATACAGATGTACTGATATAATCTTGAGGCTTGCATATCTGCTTAAAAGCTGAACTTCAAACCCAACTCTGAATCTTAAGCCCTACACCGTGGGCCCTACACCTTCACCGCTGTATTTTTCGGGTGCGTGTGTCGATCCTTCGGAGAGAGGTGGTGGAGCTTTTGCAAGGCAGTACTGGGTAGGTTTAGGGTTTAGGGTTTAGGCCTTGCTTCCTGGTATTGCGCAAGATAGGTGTCTTAAGTCATCCTTTGAGTGGGTTAGGGTTTAGGGTTTAGGGGTTTAGGGTTTCGGTTCTACCAAGGATTAGTGTAAGGGTTCTAGGATTTAGAAACCTGAGAAGATGACGGGGCTTGGGGAGGTGTCTTGTACTACCGTCGTTATAACTAATCTAAAAGGACCCCAAAAGAATAATATGAATATTGTACTAGTTGTTCCGAAATTCCGTCTAAGCCTGCTTTTGACCGAATCCAGGCTCAGGCAACCATGACAAGGGGACTTTGAACTAGGGTTTATAATGTTCAGCGGGGTTGTAGTTGGGAGCCCTGAAAAAATATTTATGACCAGGTACCTCTTCAGAAACCATATAAGGAAAATTTTATGAAGTTTGCCAAATTGCCACCTAGTCAGGGCTTTGAGAGGTTTATAGGGTTTGGTACTAGGACTGTGGGTCCAGAACCTCCAACCCTAAACCCTAAACCCTACACCCTGCACCCTAAACCCTAAACCCCCGTGGCGACCCTACAATCGGAGAAGCGCGCTGGGCAAGGCCTCATCTGACTGCCAGCAATCGTAGGGGACGAGGATGGTCTGAGGATGTGAAGAGAAGCCGTAGGCATAACCTCCATGAACGCGTTTAGGGTTTAGGGGGTTTAGGGTTTAGGGGGGTTAGGGTTTAGGGTTTAGGGCGGGTTTCGAGTGTTTAGGGCTAAGTCTAACCTTGGAGGGAAACAGAAATGCTCGGGAATCACTCAAGACAGGTGAGGCCCACCCTTTTTTGAGCAGGCCTTACAGTAAACCCCTACACCCTACGGGTCCTCTTGCCCCAAACTAGAAAACCCCTAACCCTAAACCCTCAAACCCCTGAACCTCCCGGTCCTTCTTACATCCTTGCATGTGGCGCCTTGCGGGGGGGCTGTGAGGGGTCGCCAGCAGTTGCG